GGAGCCTGCGCCGGCTGCGGCGCCAGATCGAGAGCGGGAAGGTGCCCCTGCGGCCGGAGGTCCTCGCCGGGCTGAGCGGGATCGACCTCCGCCTGCGGCGCGTCGCGGAGAAGTCCCCGTCGACCTTCGTCGAGGTCCCCAGCGAGGACTTGAACAGCCAGGGGCGGCAGAAGACCGGAGGGGCGCAGGGGAACCTCGGGCTCTCGCCCTACGCCCCGGACGGCGCGAACGCCTCCTCGGGGACGCAGAAAAAGAACCACATGATGCTCCGATCGCCACCGCTTGGGGGGTTGATAAGTGATACCGCGGGGCTGTCGTTCTGCAGTATCTCCGTCGAGGCCTCCGGGCGGGAGCGGATCGGCGAAACCGTCTCTGCCAACGAATGCTCGAGTATCGATCACGACGCCCGCTTTCGCGATGACGAGGATGGGATGTTCTTAGCGTACGATCTCTCCGCCATTCACGACGAGGTGTGCTATCTCCGCCGGCAGATGACAGAGCTCACCCAAAACTTGAAGAGGTCGAGGGCTGATCAGGAGTTGCTCGTGCAACAGATGAAAGGGATGCAGGAGGATATGCTGGTAAACCTGCATTGCCTCAAACTCACCCCTTTGAAAGACGTACAAAATAATATCTTAATTTTGCAGAATCAACTAGAAGCGCTGCAGGCTCTTGTATTGAATTCGCAGTATGTAAAGGACAGCAGGAACGGTAGCTCCACGCAGGTGACTGCGGATTTGCCCCCTTTAAGGGTAGCTTCTTCTGAAAATGACACAGCTAGAATACGATTGAATCTTAAGCTAGATCTTGATCGTCATTTTCTCGCAGGTGCGACCAACCCCCCTTCTTCAGCGTCTCCTCCATCCGAGGTGTTCATCTTTATTCTCATGGCACGTCCAACGGATAGCGTGGGGAGTGTCAAGGAGCAGCTTCTAAAGCGTTTGTCAGCGAATAAAATATTGCCGGAAAATAGCCCCATATCAGCGTCTAATACCTTTTTGTTCTTCGATGAAAAAGTGCTATTTGATACTGATCTTCTCGGTCAAGACTTGCAAATGAAATTGGCGCCGGAAGGTGAATACACTTTGACGCTTCGGCGGAAGACATAAAATAAAATATACTGATATAAAGAGAATTCCACTTATTCCCTTTCCCCCGATAAACAAAGGGTTGTGAAACGGGAGGTTAAGAAATCTCTTCCGTTTTTTTATAGTTGATATTGTTATTTGCACACATTTATCATTGTTTTTAACCCTTTTTACTTATTGAAGTTATATGATATAAATTTACTTTGACTTCATGAGTTTTTGCCCGTGTTGTTGCTGTTATTGATTCAGATGCATTAAATGTCTAGCAGAAATTACTTATGTATCTGCTAAATGTTTTGTGTGGCTTTTTCATCTCAGTAGGTTTACAGACGACATACCCTTTTTTGCATTATTTACTATGAGTAAAAACTGCATTAGGAGAAGGGGGGGGGGAGGATAAGGGGCAAATAGGAAGAAAAAAATTCTTATTTAAAAAAAAAAATGAGTTTAATGACATGAAGAATCAGAATAAATGTGCTTCTTTTTTTTTGCTAGCGTTTGTTATGCGCTGAGTTTTAGAGGCACTTTATTTTAATCAAGACGGAGTAGCAGAATTTCTTTGTTTCCTTTCTCTACTATTGTAATTTAAAGACATTCATATTATATATATACATAATATATATATTAGATAGTTTAGAGCATTTCAGGCTTTTGGGCTGGTTTCTGTCACTCAAGGAAAAGCCTCTGTCAAGAAATGAATGTATCACAATTTATCCCCCAAAGGAGAACTCTATCACCACCTAAGCCGCCTGGAACCCATACAAACGATGAAGTTAGGGAGGCTTTACACACACGTGCATTGTATCGTACTGCTATTGTTACCCTTATCGTCGCTTTGTTAACAATCGCACTCATCGCGATCACTAATACCACCCAGGAGATTCAAGATACGGCATCTTATTCTCCCAAACTTCTAATAGTTACCTTCGATGGCTTGGAACCTGAAAAACTCGAGTACTGTATGGGGAGCACCTTAATCTCTTTCACGCAGCTGCTCAAGGCGAATGGGGGTATTTACGGACGGCTGAAGGCCAACTACACAACCTCGGGCTCGCTGCTCGTGAAGCTTCTCACGGGATCGCCCTCCACGACGAATCGAACGCTTGAAGGCGCAGAATCTTTTCTACGGAGGCTCAAAAAGGCAAATTATCGTGCGTTGATCGCGGCGCCTGCGCGGTATTGGTCGTCGAATCAGGTGGAGAGCCCGAGCACGTGCACGCGGGTGGGGCTTTTTGACTCCGAGTGCACGGGGATGATGTGCCCAGGTCTTGATAAGGTCGCTTACTGCAACGCCTATCAAAAATACCTCACCTGCGATGGCAGGAGCACGATCCATGCTAATGAAACCATGGAGGCCTTTCGTGTGGCGCTGGAAAAATCCGCCGATGTGGTTTACGTCCAGATCCCGCGGTTTGCGCAGACGTCGTCGGCGGAGGCGGCGACGGTGGAGGGCCTGCTGGAGCTCTGCGGGGACCTGGATTTGCTCGACGCGACATTAGGCATGCTGGTGCTTTCCATAAGTGAACGCACGAAATCAAGGGATGAAAATTGGCTGGTGATCTTCACTGGTGATGGCGACAATGCTGAACATGAGGCTCCTTTGATGATGGTAGCTTACTCGAAGGGGCAAATTATCCAGTTGAACGACTTTAGAAACGATTATTACACAACGGATTTATACCAAACAATCATCACTTGGTTTGGACTTAATAGTACAGCCAATCTGACTAATGTTATAGGAATTTGCACAAATGGTATCAAAGCCAACAACTGCAAAAAATAAAATCACTTATAGTGTTAGAATTAAAAGTCAGTAATAAAAGTGTCAAACTTTTCAATGTCATCATGAATTTGATCCTATTGAGGGAACGAAACCCCAACGCAGCTCTTCAGCCATATCTTTTCGTGTGTGTGGTGGGTGGAGGGGAGGATGGAATAAATGGCATTTGACTGTGCACAATCAAAATAGTTTTCTCATCATAGCTAAAATATGGGTAAGGAGAGTGAGCGATTGTATAATATTTTCTTCTTTTTAGTATGTAGGGTGCTCTTTTTTTCCACCATTCGATGATAGGTAACCAACAATAACAACAAGCAAAGGGTAAAGTACGTTCTTTTCTTTTGTGTCCATGACATAGAAATCAGAGTTCATGGGTGGTGAGTGGATCTTTCCAATAGATCAGTTCTCATTTCTCTTCTTAAAAAATTCAATGCGTTTATCCTCGTAGGACACAGAAAAGAAGGATTGTGGATGAGTCCACAAATCATTCTTTTTTCCACCTAAACTCAAGACGCCTCATTATTCTCAATTACTATTACCTCTATTAAAAGAGAAAAGATCGACGCGCTGCTCTGTGCTTCTGTTAAGGACGATCCAGAAAGCAAAGTGGTAAGAGTCTTTTACAGCTTCACCTCTTCCATTTCTTTCTCTTTCAATTTCGACAGCTGCAAGCGTGTGAGAACGCACTCAATCGCACATCCCATTAAAAAGCGTCTGAGAGGGGGCGGGAGTCATGGAGCTTAATACCCTCAAACCTCGAATGCGCATCACTTCGCGAAATATTCTCGAAAGTATCTTAATACGCCAGTGCTGGAAGGAAGCACCCGACATAATCGCCCGGAATTGCTTTCTCCACTCCTGACAGTTTATTTTTTTCGCCTTTAGTTCATCTTCTGTTTGATAAATTACAATAAGTAAGAATTACAATGATGAAATTGTTTTCGAAAAGCAATATCGCTATGATAAGTTCTATTTCTTAAATGTGAACGGATTTAGATTGTCTATTTCCAGACGGTATAACTATATGATTGAACAAGTCAATATACGCTATGATAGTCTCCGGGAAAGTATAGACTTAAAAATAATACTCTTTTTTTTTGCATTATTCCTCCTTTTTGTTGATATATTTCCTCCTAACTATGGACTTTTGAATGCCAAAGCTAATTTGAATTTAAAAAAACGTGGTATCGAGACATTATTTTAGTTGTGACCCTCTTTGTTTTTTTGATCTGTGATGAGTCTAGCCTTTTCTTCTTTTTACACCTAAGGTAGCTGAAAGCATTGAAACAGGGAATTTTACAAAGCCAACCAACAACCACAGCACCAAAGGGGGAGGCAAAACCTGTAGAATAGAAAAGCAGCAAATTATACAATCCATAGTGATCACAAAGAAAAGGAAACGATGCGTCGTGGGATTGGTGTTTCACATGTTCAGCAGCAGCGCCAGACGAAGCAGCAGATGGCAGAGCTCGGCGCGCAAATCACCGCTGAGCGCGTCGGCCACATCGCAGATCAGCTCGAAACGCTCGAAAAGCACCTCCGCGAGCTAATGCACAAACACGAGAAGGAAATCAAAAGCGATCCCGTCGTACGCGCGCGATTTCGCCAGATCGCGGATTCCATTGGGGTGGATCTGATCTCGTCGAATACGAATATCTTCTCCGGGGCGTTGGGGCTGGGGAACTTCTACTACGACCTCGCTGCGAAGTTGGTGGAGGCTTGTATGAAGGAGCGAAAGTTCTGCGGCTCGTACGTCCCTTTGAAGAAAGTTATTCAGACGGTGCAGCGGATTTACGATCGCCAGGCGGAATTTTCTTCCGCCCCGGAGAAGGATCGGGTGCGGATTTCTGAAGGGGATGTGATCACGTCCTTAAAAAAGCTCCGTTGCCTTGGATCCGGGTACCACATCGTGACGCTTTCAGGGGTGAGTTACGTGCAGACGACGCCCGATGGCGTCAGCGGTGGCGACGTCGTCGAGCTCGTCAACTTCGCCCTCGAGCAGCAAAACGCGAGGCGGGATGCCCTCCGACGGGGTCCTTCCGCCGCGCCCGAAACGCCGCGATCGCCCGCCACCGCGTCGTCGGTTTCCTCGCCAATTGGGGCCGCGTACGTGCTAGGAACGCATCCGTTTTCCACCCCTTCCACAACATCCACCGAGGCGGGGATTCCGCGCATCCGGGAGTGCCTTTCCTTGACGTTGGAGCAGGTGGCAGGGGGGTTGGGGTGGCCGCCCCACCGCGCGTACGCGGCGCTACGCCGGAGTGTGCGGGATGGATCCGTTTGGGTGGATTTCCCGACGAGGCCGCGCGCTTCACAGGAGACGAAATCAAAGGAAAAAAGGGGATCGGTGCAGACGTTAGACGACGGGGCGGTGTATTGGTTTGTATCGCTGACAATCTACGGCGAGAAAATCGGTTAGTAGCCGGTATGCCGATCTATATATCGATCGATCGGTAGATATTTATATAGGTGATGCCATCTCGTTTATTTGTTACTGCTCATTTGCTTTCTTCACGTGTTGCGCTTTATCGTTGTGGCAGTGAAAATGATCCGTATGGGTCTGGTAGGTGATTTGGAAACAACAATTCACATTCTCCATACGCTCCTAGTTACCGCTCACCTACTATCCTCCTATTTTCCCCTTTTCAGGGGAGGAGATGCAATTTGAATGATATCTAGTTTGATGCCTAAATCGCTGACATTTTGGTATTGTTGTCTTTTCCTACATGGCGTGAATTACTATGCCTTTTTGTTCTACCCTTTCTAACCCTAAAGAAGCCATTTTATCTTCACCATAAGCCTATGAAAAGGTGTCTGATTGCTACATGGTTTAGTAATAGTGTATGGTTGGCTGCAAAGAGCCCGTCTGAAGTGGTTCGTCTAAACAACGCGTTCTTTTTATTCTCCAGACGTCATATTTGTGTGAATGCGATTCGTCTCGGTGCCACACAGCCACTTCGTTATCCAACCAGCGTCGACGGCGATCACGGGATTGAAAAAAGGGATGCCTCCTCGACACCCTTTCCGGGAATTAATACCCCCAACGTTGAAAAGCCCGCGGTTCAGTTGGTGGAGGAGCAGAGAGTAGCACTCGGGAATGCCTTCGACGCCCTTTTAGAGAATCGGCAAGCATCGTATCGGGATACCGTGGTGATTGACGCGCTTCAACCCCACCGCATGGAAATCAAGCGCTTGCTTTTAGATCTCGCGAAAGGAACGCACTCGCACGATTTGAACGAGCTGTTCTCTAGTAACCCCTCGACGAATGGGAAAGAATGCGTTTTAACGGTGCATCATATTTCCCTGCTAAAGGATATCTGGTTGCAAAGACATGAGGGAGGGGGGTCGGGGAATGATAGGCGGAGGGATATTTATCGCTTCTATAGCCTGCTCCTTTCCAGTGCGTTGGTCACAAGCAATGCAGAGGTGAGGCTTGTTCTAGACGAGATGCTAGCGAACGACGGACTTCCTCCGAATCATGAAATTTACGAATCGATTATGCGTTCCCTCTTGGTAATAAATGTTGGTCTGACTTCGAGCATAGAGGCGGCAGGGAATACTACAGAAGGAGATAAACCGAGGCAATTCATTCTTGGGCAGCCCTGCGTGCTGGATCGCGCGACGTCAGGAGATCTCGCAGGCCGCTACATGGGGCATGCCCTCGCGCAGATTTCCAAGAATAACCCCAACCTCCCATCTGGCGCTGCCGTCAGGGAAAACGACACCGATTATCTTCCGCTTTGGGGTGATTTTATGGAGCTCTGCGCGCTGACAGACGTCGCCCCTGCGCTAATGGACCTTTGGTGGAAGAAATTATGCGATTTCTGCGATCCCGTAGGGCCTCCACACGAGACGGAGAATCCCCTTGACGTCGCGCCGACCACAATCGCCGCAGAAGCCACCCCTCTCCCCAGGGCGTTCAAAGGATCTCTGCCGTATCGCGGCGTTTACGCTGCCCTCGCGTGGTGCGTTCGCAACCACGACCTCGAGCGTTGCCTGCGTTACTTTCATGAAGCCAACGCGCGGGGTTTAACGGGGGATTACCCCGCCTCCACGGGCGTTCACGGCGACGTGGCGTTTTCGCTCCGCTCGCCCGGAAGTCTGACCAGGCGAAGCGTCGATCCGGCGATTCAGCGGCTGCAACTTCGCCTGCTCGTGAAACTCATGGCGACGGTGAAGTCGATTCCGATGGACGGCGGGGTGAAGAACCTCGTCGTGGCGGACGTCCAGCGGCTGATTGATGCGGCCGTGCTCTTCCACGCCCCCTGGGGGGTCATTAACGATTTCCTCAGCGGGTTATCCGTGCGAAGTGCGATGCGGCTCGTCAGGCGGTGCGCGAGCGTTCACCCGACCGGGGATGCGGCGGTGCCGTTCAGCGTGTGGGCCTCTCTTCTCCGTCGTTGCGCGCGGGCGCACCACCTGGACGAGGCGAATTCGCTTTTTTTATTCCTCCGCAAACGCTTCGCGCTCACGGGGGGGGAAAAGCGGGAGTTGGTGGAGATCGTGATGCGGATGTACGCGACGCTGCCGACGCCGGATTTCGCGTCGACGATGTCGATCTTCCTCGAGCACGTCCGGCGAACCCCGAAAGGCGAGCCCGCCGTCGCGGCCGATCGCGGGCTGTACAACCTCCTCATCCAGGCGGCGGATTCGCGGAATGCGGCGATGATGGTCTTCCTGGAGGCCGCCGCGGCGGGGGTCGGGATGGATTTCGCGACCTTTGAAACCCTCCTCGGCGGGCATCCCTTCCGTGGGGTGGCGGGGTTGAGTCGTCGGCTCCCGCACGATTACGCGAGCACGCGGTTCGACGCGCAGCTCCGCATCCCCGCCGACGCCGACGCGCACCTCCGCCGCGAGGAGGCGCGGCGCGCGCGAGGGAAGGCGATTTACGACTCCACCGGCGATACCAGCTAAACGAGCGAGGGGGGGGGAAAGCGCGTGCGTGCGTGGAAAACGTTGGTGGAAACCCGAAACCGTATTGATTGAGGGATAAATGGGCTGCGTTTTCCTTCCTTTATGGGGAGGGGGGGGGGGGGGGGAGTTCCGGAGGGGGATGGAGGAGTTGCTTGCAACTGCATGCCTCTCTGG